CATGTCTTCACTTGTCAAAAAAAATACATTATGCTAGTTCCACCCCATCCCCCTTTTCTCCCAGTATATTGAAGTTGTACTACAGATCTCTAGCTACAGTAAGCAGTTCTCCAAGGATGAAGAAAGAAAATGTACATACACATAGGAATTTCTTTTCCAGAGCTAAAATTGACATTTTATAAATAATTTCCGTGTTGCAAACTTGAGACTAAGAAATCACAGCAATTCAGTGATATGCATTTGGCATGAGTCAGTTTTAGTTCTTAGTGCTTTTCATTGGAAATGGCATAAAAAGTAAGATTTCTTTGAATTTTTTATGCTGTGGGCTTACAAGAGACAGAAGATGTTTTTCTCTTATAGATGTCTGGCAGTGCATGGCAGCAGAAGTAACGAAAGGGTCACAAACCCCAGCAGTACTCCCAGGTCACATGCACCCTTAATTTTTAAAGAATCTAGAGACAACCTAAGCAGTTGATAACAGGTCATTTCTAGGTGATAAAGAGTATTTGATATGGAGTGCTGCTACACTAGCATTTTTATAGTCATTAGATACAGTAGTAGGTGTATGTACTTTTAAGTATGTAATGTAATTGGTAACTGAATTACAACCTTTTTTCTTTTTTTTGACATTTGACATTGATTTTGAGGTCTTAAAAGTTTTCTTTCAAGCCTTAAAAAAAATCTGCTTCTGTTTATTTTTATGTAAACACTTTCCATAGTCATTGACTTCAATATAAATGCAATTGGAAATGCCAAAGGCAGCTACTGTTATAAGAGAGACACGGAGACGTAGAGATTATAATTCTAGTAACTACTGCCAAAAGTGCTTATGCATTTTTCTTTCAGAAACCTTTGTATTAAACTAATTTTAAGAGCTTTGCTTAAGAAGAGAGCCTCCTTTGAAAGTAAACATTGGGTTTACATAGGTTGATGCTTTAGAAATTTAGTCTCTCAGTGACCTAGCAGTTGATATGAAAATATGAATTTGAAAATAAATAGCATATTGGATAAACTGTACTATACTTATGAAAGAAGCCAAAAAATTATGGATTAAGCTGAATTTGGAAATAATTACAGTTTTGAGTCGTAAACCAGATTCGTTATTAAAATGAAATGATAGGTCCTTGACCCTTGGGTGTGCTTGGAATAAATATGGAACACAGTATTGTTTTTAAAACTATTTTGCTTTTATAAGCTAAGACAGATGTACAAAAAAGATGCAGTTTTTATTTTGTATTGGCAGCTTCCAAATATTTAGTATCTATTTCCAAGAGTTGCAATTAGTAAAGCAACCATGGTACTGAAATCTGCACATCCCACAAGCTAATTATATTTGCAAGGTCAGAGTGAATACATATTTTCAGAAAAATAAAGGGTTATATAAATATGTGTCTTCTACTTGGCTGTTATATCACAGTTTGTTGATCTGGAGTATAATGTGTACAATTCACAAATTTGTCTGATAACAGAAAGTGGTGTGTGATTGTGTTTATTTTACTAACCAGTATATTCACAGCAATCACTTCCAAATATCTCTCCAGTAAAGATGTGTTAATTACAAAACAGACAAGGTCTTCTATTATATTAAAGCTACTAACAAGAAGACAGCAGGAATCACACATGTAAATAGCATCATCAACCCCTATTTTAGTCCTCTGTTTTGATCTGTGAGTTGCGCATAGACCAAAGGTGCTATTAAAGACTGAGTGTATGAAATAGGCAGCATTATATGAACAAAATTTATTCAACAAGAAAACAGACCTTTAACATGAATTTAACAAGCCTGAGAAATTATAAACTATCATATGCTGCAGATTCATGCAGTGATAATAAACAAAAAAGGAAAGTAAGAGGTTTCCCTAAGCTAGCCAAACTGCTAATGGTTTTGTTATAAGCTGTCTACTGTTGCAGTGACCTCTGAAAAGTCTCAAGGCACTTGTACCAGAAAAAATTAAATGGTCAGGCTGGTGGATAGATTCAATGTGGTATATAGGATTTCAGCATGGGAAGGAATTATAAAAGTCTAGCATCATATTCCTGAAAATATTCTTTATAGTTTAGTTTGGAAGTTTTTGTTAGTACATATTAATGAGGTAGTTTTTATGCAAAGAGTTTTGGCTAAATTACTATTTGGATTTGTAAGATATAAACTGAACTGGTTTAATGTATGTATATTTTAAAACAAACTGTTTAGAAAATTCATATAGCTCCAAAAATGGATTCTTTCCCTTGTCCCCTCCCCCAAACCTTAATTAATCTTTGGGGGTTCTTTGTGCAGTATATTGTATCTAAGATACCGTTCTTATCCATGGAGTGACCACTTTGCTGTCATTGTGTTGCATCATGCTGTAAATACATAAACATGGAGAAATGCCTTCAGCTTATACACACCTCCAAGTGCTCACCAGGGCTTTTTCTTGAATCTTACTGTGGCATAATTAACACCTTCTTCACCCATTGCTCATTAGTGCACTGGACATTAATGAGTCTATTTTGATAGGTTGCTCTAAAGGAGAAACCCACTTATTCTCACAGCGCAGAAGGCAATTATAAAATTGTACAGAAATTAAAATGTAGACTATATTGCCATATTTATATTTTTATTGCGTACTAAATCTAATTTTGGTCTGCAGGTTGTTGAACATGTTAGTTTCCTTAAGACAGTTGCTATAGCGATGGCAGCAAATTCCTTTAATCTTGGTGTAGTTAAAGTATTATTTTCTATTGGCTATCATATTGCTGTTCAGGAATTGTCAATCTAAGCATGTAATTTCACACAGGCCATCATTTATTGAGCAGTGTATCACCTTTAAAATGTTTTATTTAATATAATTTAATTTTTTCTATTTTAGATTTGTTTCTAACTGATCATAATATCTACTTAGCTGGTATTTTCATTTCCTTTTTATGAAGTTTCACACCTGCTTATAATATTCCAGAGAAATATTACAGAGATTTTTGCATGTAAAATAGCTGCCTGCTGTTTGTTTAAAAGTGTTCAGTATAAAAAAAATACATAGACATTTTATTGTGATATATGATGGAATTTTCATAGTTCTGTAGGATTGTTTTTTTCCTACAAATGATTTTACTAAAATTTTAAAATGGAATCAAAGGTTTCTAAGAACAGTTGGGCCAAGATGATGCTTTGCTCTTAAGTTTACCACAACACTTAAATGGTGGAAGTTCTTAATCCTGCATTTATTTAAGTACATCTGTCTATTAAAATGGTCATTTTTCTCCTTTTGCTTACATTTTAATTTTACCTTATGTGTTTTTTAGTAGAAAATTTTACTTCTTTGTTTTTTAAACAAGTGATTGAAATTATTTATGATGTTTTACTAAAGCATGCCTGATATTAGTACCTATTTTTATTATTGCTATATGAAAATAAATGATTAAAAAATTTTAAGTATAAGCAGGAGGTATAAACCTAGGCCATATTCATTTATATATAAATGTGAAAGTTGAGTCTGAATTTCAGTTATTGTAGAGGAAAGAAAAAAGTTTCCAAAACTATTAAATCATGTATGTTCTGGGGATACTTGGTTTTATTTTGAGGCAGGAGGACTCTTTGGGGAAATTCAGACTGTTAGAAATAAAAGCAAAATTCAAAGTTGATTTTTTTTTTTTTTTTTTTTTTTTTTTTTTTTTTTTTTTTTTTTTTTTTTTTTTTTTTGGCCTGCTGGAGTGGATACTTCTTGTAATGCTTCGGTCTAAGTTTGTATTCTTTGATACTGTTTGTTGACCCTTCATGGTAGCCTTTTAGAAAGGGTGATTTTCTTTTTCTTTCTTTAGATTTTGTTCTTTAGTGTACAGCGTGCATACATAACTCTGAACAGATTTTTCAGATGTGATTAGATTTCATGTGGCTTAACTTAAAAATAAATTTTATTTTCTACCTCTTACTCAACTAAACTTACTCAACTATACTCAAACTAATACAGATGGGAAACAGTCTAGTTGATGGCTGCTTTTATAACATTAATAAATCTCAGTTAAAGCACCTTTAAGGCAAATATAGAAAAATACATTATCTTGCTTAAAATTTTTTTTATGTGACAGCAGTATTGAGTTTATTATCTAGGTAATTGATTTAAATTCCCAGAAAGAAGTATCTGTCTTAAGTCCCAGTGCTTTACATAAAACTTAAACGAGTTCTATCAAATCCATGACAATGAACAGAAAAAAAAAATGTTAGGATACTATGTGATGGTTGTTAAATTTCTTAATATAAAAGAACAGATAATACTGTATCATGTAAGACTATGTACTCTTTTTTTATGGAAATATTGAATACACTTAGAAAAAGATGATACCTACTGTTATTTCTGTACTATGAACTTAGGGCCATATCATTCTATACCATGTTCCTGGCTTAAAGCACAGATGACCTTGGTTTTTTCGTATTTGCCTCCTATTCTTGACAGTGGCTTGGATATTTAAGGCCATCAGACAAGGTATAAAGTCTTTTATAGTCACAAGAAGTAAAAGGTATCTGACTAGAAGAGAATACGTGGAGCAAGTGCCTTGCTGGCTGTAATTTTGTTGTCATTTCAAGTACTGTGGTAGTATAATTGATGTGACAGGGCTGGGCTTTACATGTGGTCCCTTAGCTTGTGCTCACTTTCAGTTTTAGTTTCTCTTTGTCATTCATTTTGATTAGGTAAAATTTAGGTGACAAACATGCACACCAGTGAAGGCTGTTTGGTTGTGTAAGTTTAGTAATGATGTATTTCAATACTAAAGATGCAAAGTTAATGTTTTTCTTTACTGCTTCATGAAAATTGCAATAATTGGTGTCACCTTACATTACAAGATAGAGGGTGGTGTGCTGATGGCACAGTCAGCAGGAGGTTCTTTTTTATTAATATTATAATTAAATGATTTTCTGGAAATAGGCCAGAAACAGATGCAAGTTGATCATGCCTTGTCCACTGTTGCTTGGCATCATCACTTGCTTTTTAAAAAAGAATTGACCAGACACCTTATTTTTACAGGTTGTTATCGATGCCTTCAGATTGATCAATGCTAATATGATGGTCTTAGGACATGAACCAAGACAAACAACCTCAAATCTGGGTCATTTAAACAAGCCATCTATCCAGGTAATGCCTGTATTTGATAATGTGTTAAAACTCTGTTTTACATTTTAAAAGCCTATTATAAATGGTCATATTAAAATCTGATACTTAGCATTTTAATTTGTTTGCAATTAGTTTTTCTTGTGCTTGAGAAGATGATTATGGAAATTCTGTTGCAAAAGTTAGATTTGCTCATTTATGAGTCCATTTTTTGTGGAGTCTTTAAACTTTCCTAACATAGTTTGAGGATACCCTTTTTGGGAGCATAGGGGAGCCTTTATCTTGAGAGTACCTTATGGCTTTGCATGGTTAACATTGTAGTCAAGGACCAACACAAGTTTCAGGTAGACTGCGTTAGGTATCACTATTGATTGGTTAGTAGACATTTCTCATAGCATTAAAAATGGGAAAATTGATACACCTTGAGACAGAATTCCTAAATGGTACTTAAAGTTTTCTACCTTTTCTTTGTTTACTCTCCACATTTAAAACAAATTCTACAAAACATATCTGTGTATTACTTTTGATTCATTTATGTCTTGTTCTAATAATGTCAACCGTCGTTCTCACAGTTATGTGGGCATTTAATATCCTCTTGAGTGATTAATGTTTTCTGTGTATCATTCACGTGTCTCATTGTTTTTACACAAATCTTTATTGTTTGCAAAGATTATTTTAAATGTGTTTTTAAATGCACCACAAATTGTGTCTATATAGTTAATTGCTTCTCTGAAGATTAATTAAATGGACAGAAATACCAGTTTGGTTTAATAGAACACATAGGACAAAGACATTATAGTAGCTATTACTTCTTGCCTTCTGAAACCTTGCTCTGTCATATGATTGTCTTTGGGGAGTTGTGGCTTTGATAGTTAACCATGGTTAAGCCTGGGTTACACTCTGATAACTTTATACCTTTAGATGCTTACTTTTGTAGCAGTCGCTCATCTGAAATTTTCCGAAGTGAAATGTTTTGTTTCAAAGAATTGAGGTGTGTTGCTTTTGCATAAAATTTTTTTACAAGTCAGGGAAAACTGCAGAGTTTAATGAGTATGAAATAAGCTACCAGTGTTTTTGATTGGGTACAGACAAGCCCATGCTTGTATGTTCCAGGAGAATATATTATTGGACCTGTTTAGCCTGTGATAATGACCTTTCTTATAAACCCCCATAGTATCATACTGCTTCATTATTTTTTTGCAAAAGGTTAAGTAGCATCTCACAATCCAAGATCATTGTGATTACTACATGGTATATTTCTGCCAGAAGTTTTTACTAATTGCAAGTCAACAGCCACCTGTTGCCAATTTCATGTCTTAAATGTAAACACTGCTTTTTAACTTTATAAATTGAGTAAAATCAATATTAAAATCTGTTTTTTTCTACAGCAGTCCAGTTTTTATTTTTCGGTGCTACCTTACCGTCTGTCATTTAAGGTAGACCTTATAAATAAAGCAAGTTCCAAACCCAAGTTAGAAAGACCTGTGTATATAATAGCTGCAACATCATTGTTTTTCCTTTCATTTTAGTTTGTTTTGCCTTGTAATTAAAATCTGTAAATATATTTATTTCACAGTTTAAATAGCGCCCATCAGAATGTCATCTGAGTGCTTAATAGTTTTAAGACAATTTCAGTACTAAAACACTCAAATGGGATTAAGCCAACAAGTGACAGAACAAAGCCACACCTTAAAACTATTTCTCCCATCCAAGTACTAACCAGGCCCAACTCTGCTTAGCTTCCGAGATCAGACGAGATCGGGCGTGTTCAGGGTGGTATGGCCATAGACAAAACTATTTCTTAGTTTTCTAAGACAAGCTAGAAAGAAAGCAATCCAGAAGAATCTGAAATGAATGGTAATATTTATAATGGACTTTTAATATATGTTAGCAGAATCTTTGACTTGGGGATCAGGAGCCTTTCCAAAAGGCTTTTATTTTGAAGGAAAATTAGTTCGTGTTAAGAGGGGCCTTCCTCCTAAACCAACTTCTTTGTAACTGGGGATAGAAACCACTTATGCTGGTGGTTACTAATGCTTCTCTAACATTGATTTTTTTTCTGTTATACTTACAGTAGTGGGGAAAATTATGATTATTTTATAGATTACTGTTTAATAATTTGAGGAAAATTCAAAATATGTTAAGAAAAAGGTTATAAAATAGGATATAAAGGTTCTCTTAGCAAATCCATATTTTATAAACTGTGCCTATGTATCTATACCAAGATATTAGCATTGATTACTTTTGGTGGTGGCATTATGGAATTTTTTTCCTGTTTTTCCTTTTCCGTGGTTCCTAAACTTACTACTGTGAAACGTTTATTACTTAAAGAAAACATTATTTTTAAAACACTAAAACAGGGTTGAAATAGGTACCATAAAACAAAGCTAATAGACAAAGTTTATGTTAACTTCCATGTTTTAAATAAGGGAAGCCATTTTAATCCTGATAGGCAGAAGTATAGTGCCCACCCTATGGACTTTTGTTTTAATATATGAGACTTTGTATTATTTTGTCCTTGGAATATTTGACCATTATTGTCAAAGGTAATAGGATTGAGAGTTAACAAGCATTTTATTTTAGTAACTAAAAATTTTAAACTATATTCCACTTAAACTGTTAAGAGCATTTCAAATCTTTGAGAACCATAGTATAAGTGAAGCTTGGGTTGTGAACTGCATGGAAATTTGGTAACTTTTGATGCACAGATGCATTGTGCAAGGACCGTGAGCCTCTAAGTGTAGCCCTGAATACAATTGCATTGTCTAACAGAGTTTTAAGCTGTTTGAAAAACTTTTTTTGTTGTTTTTGTTTTTGTTTTGAGGAGTTATAAAACTATTGCCCTGGAAGGAACCATTGAGGCCCAGAAAGTTCAAAATTTGCCCAGGTTTCATAGTGAATTAACGTAGGAACTGATATTTATAACCTGTGCTCCTGGTTCTTTATACTGCACTTGGAATTTAATTACATAATGAATTTTAGCACAGATAATATATTTATACAGTTCAAAATTTAAAAGGTACAAAAAGGTAGTTAGCAGAATTTGAATAAATATTTGAATAACTCAAATGGTGATTGATTTTGAAGTTTATTTCACTATAATGATTACTTGTATACTTGTTTTGAATTTGTCATGCCAATAAAATTATGAAGCTCTACTCTAAAGATGAACTAAAACAGCATAGAAGTAACCTGGAAGTTAATCAGCATATCTCAAAACTCCCCTTTGTCTATGGTCCTCCAAACCATTCTTAATCTAGAACAGATAGCACCTTACTCTGATAATGAGTACCAACCTAGGCAGAATTTTCTTCTTGAAAGGTTACAGGATTTGAGCATAGAAAACCAGGATCAGGATATACAGGAAGCACATAAATAAGCTAAATGCTGTTAGTAAATCCAAAATATACTATCATAGAAACAGTGTTGTAAAAGGTGGCTGGTTTCCCAGGCCAGCCACTGAAAGCTTATTTAGCCCATAGTATGCAATATTATAGAATAGAATCAGACTTTTATAACAGTGCTTCTCTGAGAAACTGCTATGGATTTAAAAGAAAAAAAATTTTTAATGTTTATTTATTTTTGAGAGAAAGAGAGCATGAGGGGGAGAGGGACAGCGAGAGAGGGAGACACAGAATCGGAAGCAGACTCCAGGCTCTGAGCTGCCAGCACAGAGCCCGATGTGGGGCTCATACTCACAAACCATGAGATCATGACCTGAGCTGAAGTCAGATGTTCAACCGACTGAGCCACCCAGATGCCCCAAAACTGTTGCAGATTTTAAGTAGCCAATTAATGAATGAGCTTTGGGAATGAACCCTGTTTTACTGAAGATTTTCCTAAATTTTCCTAAGTCCATCATATGTTTGTTAAGTGTAAATCAAAAAATTATGTAGTGATGTTTTAGGAACTTTCCTAGCTGTATAACTTTCTTCTTTATCTCTCTGACATACTGTGGCCTTTTTTGTATATTCTGTTTAATTTGTAATTTGACCCTTCCAAATGGTTAGTTCTCCCTCTTGAAAAAACTAATCTTATGTTTGGTATATGCTGCCTCAACTTGTCAACTAAATTGGTTAATTTTTTTTTTTTAATGTTTATTTATTTTTGAGACGGAGAGAGACAGAGCATGAACGGGGGAGGGGCAGAGAGAGAGGGAGACACAGAATCGGAAGCAGGCTCCAGGCTCTGAGCCATCAGCCCAGAGCCCGACGCAGGGCTTGAACTCACGGACCGCGAGATTGTGACCTGAGCTGAAGTCGGACGCTTAACCGACTGACCCACCCAGGCGCCCCTAAATTGGTTAATTTGAGAGAATTTAATATTCACTGAGGCTGAGTTTGGGGGGCTTATGTGGAAGGAGGACTGTACCTGGCCGAATTATTGTGATTTGGAATGTGCTGGTGTTACACAGTGCTCACTTACGCAGTGAGTAAGTGAAACTGGAAGACTGCTTGGGGATATCATTTTATTTAAGCTTAAATATTTTTTATTATGATAACTACTACTCTTTCATGCTGTGTTAGTTTTACCTCTTTTACCTAAATAATGTTAAGTGAAAAGTAGGTAGTGCCTTCAAATCCCAAACTGTATATTTTAGCAGTATAATTACCCTCCAAAATGTAGACTGTGGGCACACTGGCTGATTTTTGCGTTTATTGGCTATAGGTGTTACTAGCTTTATGCCTACTATGTAGAAGTATGTAGTTAGGGCATTGTACAAAGGCACTTCAATGAGGGGACAATTGGCAACTGAAATCTAGTGTTAAGTTCCACTCTCCACTTGGGCTTTATCCACGGGAAGGACTAGTACCTTTTTCTGATTCTTCTACCCAGAGGATACACTTCCTAATTTACACAAATACTAGTACATATTAAGGGAGGCCCTGATTAATTCCACTTTTTTTTTTAATTTTTTTTTTAACGTTTATTTATTTTTGAGACAGAGACAGAGCATGAATGGGGGAGGGTCAGAGAGAGAGGGAGACACAGAATCCGAAACAGGTTCCAGGCTCTGAGCGGTCAGCACAGAGCCCGGTGCGGGGCTCGAACTCACAGACCGCGAGATCATGACCTGAGCTGAAGTCGGAGGCTTAACCGACTGAGCCACCCAGGCGCCCCTAATTCCACTTTTTGATCTGCATAGCACAGCATTTGTGAGCACTGAAATTTGACTCACTACTGATGATTATTGAGATGAATAAGGATTTAATAGATACATTTAGTACTTTAATTTTGCACATCAACCATTTTATTATAGCAGATGTTAGGATAAGAATGGATTGTTATAGTACATATTAAAATGTTTTAGTACTTGGTGGAATGATTTTTGCTAGTAGCAAAGTTTTAAAATAAGACTGGCTATGCTTGTTTTTATCCTGGTCCTTTAAAGTGTAAAGACTTATGAATCCAAGAATTTCCTAAGATACGTTGTGGCATAGTATGGTAGAAAAAACATGGGCTTTGGAGCCAGAAATACTCAGGTTCAAATCCCATCTTTGCCTTGATATAAAACTGGTACAGATTAAGAATTGTGTTATATTTTCTTCATCTGTCAAAATACAAATAGAACCAGTCTACCTTACTGGGTTGTTGTGAAGAATAGAAGACTTACTGTGCAAGACAGAGGCTGAGTATTCATTAAATGTTTCCTTTCTACCCCTTCCTCCTCTACCTCAGTACCTTAAGACCTTAACTGTAAAATTCCAACAATTAGAGAGTGTGGTGGTGGTTTTGGTCAGCTTTAGCTTTATATTTGAGTTACGCCCCGAACGCTTTTTGTTTTTATACTTGTTGAACATAAATCCAAGGTGTATTTCTGTACTTTAATGTCTTACTAGGCAGATAGAGAGTCTCCCAGAGTACCATTCTGAACCCCATTTGAACGTCTGTTGCTAGCGTTCCATTATTTGAGCAGTTGCACGTGGATTTCATCACAGACAGATTTCATTGTTTCTTAATAAAGCCATGTCATTAGCTTAAATTTTTATTATGACCTTCCTGTTTGTCTTAGAAGACAAGTGCAGTGGAAAAAATTCTGGTTAGTGAGATTGCTCTCACTGGTTAAGATCATGAGGTAAGAAATGGACTTTGTTAATTTGGAGACATGTGTAGACACAATTATTTGATTCTATATATGACTCTGTAGAACTGAATCAAGAAACAGGGAAACCCCAGATTAATGTTGTGTGTGAAAAGATAAGTGTATTATTATGACTAAATTTTAGGCTTTTCTTTTGAAATAACAAAGAGCCCCTAGATATCATAAAATCAGACTTAACAAATTAAGTATTATTTATAGATTATGAATAGTTAGTTTGTAACTTAAATTACAGTGAGGTCAGACCCGGTCTCTGACTCTGAGCAAGGCTACTGAAACTGTTGAATTTGTGCTGCTGTGTATGATATTTTGAAGAATGTGTGACCTGTACTTCTAAACCTTCTGAACTTATAGCTGAAAAAAAAAATACATTTTCATTTATTTAGGTTAAAAGACTTTTTTTAGAAGATGGTAAAGATACTATTTACAGGATATGTCAGCAGTTTTGAACTTTTACATGCAAAATATTAATTTGTCCTTTTCTAATAATTTATATATATAGGCATTAATTCACGGACTAAACAGACACTACTACTCCATTACTATTAACTACCGAAAAAATGAACTGGAACAGAAGGTAAGTTAAAATTTTTATCTTAGAAATCCATTTAAACTATTACCTAGTATGTTTGAATTTGATGTGTTCGAATATTTTTTCATTCCAAATGAATTTCAGGAACATAAAGGAATATTTTATTGGACATATTAAAGACATTTACCTTATTGGTAGGTGCTAAAATAGAGAATAAGTAGGAAATAAACGTTTATGTTTGGTTGTATGAGTTACTATAAAAATCTTTCTCCTCATTCTGTGATGTTTCTGATTAATGTATCTTTTCTAATAAAATAACCTGGGCGCCTGGTTATTCGAGGTGTGCCTGGGTGGCTCAGTCAATTGAGCGTCCAACTCTTGGTTTTGGCTCAGGTCATGATCTCACAGTTCACGCTTTCAGGCCCCACATCAGGCTTCACGCTTCACACACTTCAAGCAGTGTGGAGCTTGCTTGGGATTCTCTCTCTCTCTCTCTCT